AGGAACTTTAGCTTTGAGAAGAAAGAAAAACAAGGGCATGTCAAGGCCTCAACCAAAAATGTATGTAAAATAATCTGAGCAGCTTGATTAGCCAGAATGAGATTAGAAGTTGCATTTTGGGCCTTTGAAACATATGGTGTAGCATATTATATATCACCTCTCCGCAATCTCTACAATGACATGCCTATATGAGCAGCCTCATTTTCACCCATAGTACAAAGAAAAAACTATACTCCTCTGACAATGTTGTGTGTGAGTAAGAGAATGGTAAAGTTGTACAAACTCTACTTTCCAAAAGAGAATACACCCTGTTTTGTCAAAATAACAGAATGGGTGCTAAATGAAAACTAATGTCTTAAACTATAGTACATACTGAGAAGTGATGATTCATGATTAAAAGGATTCTGTGTGTATTATTGCACTGCGCTGTTCTTTCTGTTGTTCTTGTCACAGTATTTCCCTGCTGCTAAAAGATTGCATTAAAAAGCAATATGCACTGTCCATCTTAGATCTCTTTAAATACTACTGTTCAGTACTTGATGAAAAGCTTCCAAATACCACTCAATTCATTGTCAGTTCTTTCTAACACTATAAAACCAGGAAGCTTTTGAAAGCTATTATTATGGTAGGCATTTTACAGGTAACCGGGGCTTGAATTTGGACCCAGGCTGGCAATGCTGTATAATAGTTTCATATGTTAAAATAAACTATAGATTCAGATAGTGTAGAGAGAAAAGAAGTGAACAGAAAAAAATATCAAGGAATGTACAATTGAATACTTCCTATCAATAGTCTGTTAAAACAGGAACAGGTATTGTAACATGAAAATGTGTTTTGTAGTTATTATACTGTAGTTAATTGTAGCAGAGTTATATGCTTTTTGTTTTTAAGTAACAGACCCTGATGGTCAGGACTTTCTTTGTCTTTAAATTTTAAGAATAGAAAAAAAAAAGTCTATGAGCCAGTAGTGGGCAGCCCCTGTTAGCAAGGATATAGTGCTTTTCACTGTAAATCTCATCTACAAGGTGCGATTGCTTTCCCAGCTCACACTTAGTGAAGAAAGAATTGGACTAATGCTACACTAAGAACCTTTCCAATTACATAATTGGGATGTTTAATTAAGTGACATGCTTAATATGTAAATCCAAGACATTCAGAAATACTTCAGCTGAACTAGATTGTAAATAGAAATGCACTTACTATAGCAAATAAAAATGTCGGTCCATTTTCATAACTCTTAAAAGAACTATTTAGATTCATTTGAGGGTAGGTGTGATCGTTGAATTGTTTCTTAAGAACTTTTTGGCCCTTTCAATGAGGTACACTTAAAAGCTTAATGTAAACACATTTATAATGCATTTCTTAAAATCTAAAGGCATTTCCTACCTACTCTAAGATAATGTCTAAATGCTATTGACTTTTACTATTTCGACTGATTTCAAGTTTCAGAATGTTTCTTCTCTCATTTCAGAATATATAACCCTATCTTTATGTTCATGTACCTCGTACTTCTTGGTGCCCAGAGCAACACATCTGGTTTATGCTTAATTCATCTAATGAGAAAATAAATAGGGTAAATTAAACCCTTACTTGATGTATCACTATAGGGACTTTTTAGATCTGTCAGTATTGCAAATACCAAGAGAGAAAAAAATTCTCTACCAACCAAAATTGACTGTTTTTTCTTTCTTCACTCTGAAAGAGATTTTAATTGATAGAATAAGTTTCTTCTAGGACATCCATTTAAGTAAATTATTCTTTCTGATTTCATTTGGTAGCTGCATAATATATCATGTTTTCTTAAACCCAACCAAACTTTTATTTAATTTCTCACCAGAAGATATCTGAGGTAACTTCTTCCTCCCTTCCTCTATCACACATCTAAATTGTGGTTCCTCATAAGAACATTTGCATTAACAAAATTACATACCTAGTGGGAAATATTTCCTTATGCTTAATACCCACGTTGCTAATGTGTGTGTGTATATATATATACATATTAGAAAGTTATCCATAGACCTTCAAATCTGATACTGATTTAGCTTTTTATGCATTGATAAGTAGCATAATACTTGTTAATCTTTATCTTTTTTTAGTGAATTCCTAGAGTAACTTATAGTAGCAAAAAATTGCAATGGGACAGTAACAAAAGTGATTAAGGAGGAATAAAGGAAATGTGTCACTTAAAATAAATCACTTAAAAATGGAGAAGTTCTGCATTTTGAGAATCATTCATTTCCGAACAAGGTACATTGAGCAGTTTACATTAACCCATAACTGACACTTGTAGGAAAACTAATTTTCTATTTATTAAAATAATTTAAATTTTTATTAGCCTCAAATATTTCGTTTGGGGAGAGCTTATATATGTGGATTTTGAGACAATATTATTGGCTTATTTGTAATGTTAAAAATCCCTGAGAAGTGCACCTGTGCTTTCTTACATATGTAATTATTTTTAATTTGTGTTTTTGCACATATCTTACAGAAGTAGAATGTTCAATTAGTTGTGTGTTACTTGACTTATCTTTCTACCTATCTTATGTCTATGTATTGTCAGTTTTAGATGGCAGTGTCACAGATGGTAGGCCAAAAACTGCTTAAAATTTTCTGAGCATCACATTACATGTGATTCATATGATATTAGAGTGGCAGTGAAGTGCTTATTTTTATATTTAAAAGTTTAATTTCAAGGGCGATACACGCCATTTAATATTTAAAAAATGATTATCCACTCATAGCAAAAGGGAAAAAATAAACTCTGAAGAATGAAAAGATTAAAAAAAACTTGCTTAAATTTGTTTATACACTAGATCACTCATAACAGCAACAAGCTATAGGATAAGAATCTGCATAAGCTGAGATCTGACTCTAAAATTGAAGTGCATACCTTTATTCATAAAACTTTTCTTAGAAAATGCATTTGTTATCAGTTATACATAAAGTAGTTTTAGTTGTAGATAAGTGAAAACAATATGCTAAAAAGTGATAAGAGGCTGTTAGGTGAGAGAAGTATGGCAAGTTTCTCATCACATAAAAAATGTTATAGAATATATATATATATATATATATATACACATATATATATGCATATAGTTACCTACAGCTATGTAATATCTATTCATCTACTTACCTATGTATTTATCTAGATTGGCAGACTTTTTAAAGTTTAATATACCTGTCTTTCTCTGCCTCTTGTTCCAGTTGATTCTTTGTTGTTTGGATACAGTATAAGGTAACTGATTATGGAAAGAAAAGGCATTTTTGTACATAGATACCTGTTTTCCAAACTGTTTTGTTTTAGCTATTCTATTTGTTAATAAAAGAACAAACAGATAAGTAAACTGACCATTAAGTATTTAAACAACTAAACAGATGGGTTACCATTTGGATAAATTATCTTTACAGCATGTAATTAATTTCTGGTATTATGATAAATTAAAATACAGTAACTTCTAATATGTCAGTGTGTTTTTTAAAAAATCCGGAAATATTTTTGAAAATATCACTTTTGAATTTCTTTGTTATAATGTAATTCTTTTCCTTCCACAAAATTAAATCTACTTAATTCATATTTCTAGATACCAAATGAAACAGAAAGACATAGCTCTTTTTCATATTAAATATGAACATATTTTTCTTAAGAGAGCACTTAATCTACCCTGAATTTCTTTTCTTCTAATTTCTTTTTCATTATTAATTTCTCCTTTCTTTATAACATAAAATGCCAGACTTGAAAATATTGAGTTGCATTAAAAAAGACTATTAAAATAAATTGTGAACCATATCTGTTAATCCTTTTCTGTTTTCAAAGACACGTGGTGTTCCAAGAATTTGTTCTAAAGCATTATGTGTATAAATACTTGCTCTTATTTACAGCAAAAGTGGATTGTTTTTTCTAGGAAAGAAAGTGATTGCTTTTCCAAAGTTTGCAAATTTGGCAAGTTGACATGCTGCTTAGTACTACAAGCGATGCCTTTCAAGTGGTGTGACTGCCTCAGAAACTTAGCATGTACCTCAGGCTTTTATGCAAGGTTTTCCTGGTTACCTCTCTTGCCACCCTTTCCCCCTCTCTCTCCACATCCTTTGTCTACTAGTATTTCTCTAGGACTGTCTCTCTAGCTTTTCTTACCCTGTATTTTTCTTGCTTCCTCTTTCTCCTGTTCCTTTCTCTGCCTCCTTATTTCCTTTTATTCTTTGACTCTTTCATTCTCAGACCACTGAGAAGGAAATGGTAGAAAGGAAATGTTAAGCAAAAGACTTTTTTCAGTTTAATGAATAATCCTTCAGTAATTTTTAGATTTCTAGACTTCCTGGTGTAAGCTTAGTTAGCTTGAGATAAAATTTTTAAAGATGAAGCTGTGATGCCTTCTTTGAGAGGATCTATGGAATTATTTGGTGAGATATATATAGTAGATGAATTACTACATGTACTCATGTAGTAATATGTGTTATTATATGTATTTTCTAGCACTATTATATATTTTATTTATATATAAAATTTTGAAGATGGTGATTATGTTTTATGAGTAAGCACATTCTACATACATTCTTTTTACTAGCTTTGATAACATATTTATAGGCATATTATTTCCTATTGTTTAATCTCTGTTATCTTAATCATATCTTTAAAACATTCCAAAAAGCGTTCTATTTCTAGCTCTGTGACTTAGATGATCCTTTATGAAGTAATGGGAACACTGTTTATCACAACTGTTTATTTTTAACTACACTAGTAAAAGCTCAAATACCTTAGTATAATACATTAGAGGTGTGGAGCGTGAAGATAGAATCTTCATGATGAAATATGACGCGTCTAGAAAGCTAGTGTGTAACAACAGTGGTATTTTAATATTATTATTAAAACATTAGATAATATTTGAAATATTACATAAAATTATAGGCCATCGTCACTAAGGAATTTATTAGCGATGACATACGGCTGTGAAATATGTTCACAGACATGGGTTGTGACCACATTTTCTCTTCTCTCTGTCTAGGTGCCTGTGTCGGTGGCCATGATGACTCCCCAGGTAATCACCCCCCAGCAAATGCAGCAGATCCTTCAGCAGCAAGTCCTGTCTCCTCAGCAGCTCCAGGCGCTTCTCCAGCAGCAGCAGGCAGTCATGCTGCAGCAGGTAATGTGGGTTACCTGCTTTGGTGTTCCCGCCTGGCACGGGAGGCATGCCCTCATGGCACTGCATCACGGGCACATTTGAGAACTTATTCTTCATTTGAAGGACCAACTTCTAGGCATCTGAACATAACTGTGGTGCTTTAATTGCTGAGCTGCATAAGAAAAGACCCCTTGTTGTTGTTTTTAGATTCATTAAAGTGTAGAATAAGAGCAGAGAGAGGTGTAATTGTATCATGGAATAAAGCAGTATTTAAATATCCAAATGCTTAGGCACATTTGCTTTGTAGACTTGCCAATAAACCTACAAAGAGATTCCTGGATAATTATTACTTTTAAAACTCCTCTAACTTTAGCACTCTTTTTAGTGCGTGTAAGTATGAAATTTGAACTGGCTATTTTGTTACAATAGGGAAAGTAACACCCCAATTCTGCCCCCCCCCAAAAAAAAATGTTATTTGTTTAGAAACAGAAGTATCTCCTTATCAGGACAAAGTTAAACAGTTAAACCACCAGCTCATAAAATCATAACATTTATCTTTAAAAAAAAAGTAACAGAACTAATAAGTACCTCACCGGACCCCTAAGTATATCTAGAGTGGACTTGATGTCATTGAGTTGCCTGGAGATGATGGTGACCACAAGCCAGTCACTTCTATCTCTGTCTGACATTCCTCTGTACATCGACTGATTTCATTTTCCCCAATCAGAACTGAACAACCCGATTCTCTATAGCTATGTATTTGGGTTGTACAAATGGTCAAGTATAACCTATATTTACATGCTACTGGGACTTCGAATGTCTTAATTTAGGATATTCATTTGGTTCTGGCCCTTTAGAACACAGATTTTCTATACCCTTTTATTTAGGGCTTTTTGGATTCTGGATTGGAAAATTTCAGAGCTGCCTTGGAAAAATGTGCATGCAGATGTCTCCTTAAATCCAAGGTCTATTTTTGTTGTTGTCCTTGGGAGGCAAATCTTAACGGACACTACCGTATGCCAGTCTAGGAGAGTGTAGGAGATTTGTAATACGTGAAACTTTTGCCTTTATTTATTAAAGTCAAAATGGTTTATTCAGCAACAACTACAAGAGTTTTACAAGAAACAGCAAGAGCAGTTACATCTTCAGCTTTTGCAGCAGCAGCAACAGCAGCAGCAGCAGCAGCAACAGCAGCAGCAGCAACAGCAGCAACAACAGCAGCAGCAACAGCAGCAGCAGCAACAGCAGCAGCAGCAGCAGCAGCAACAACATCCTGGAAAGCAAGTGAAAGAGGTAGGATCCGGCCCGGGCCTTGGTGCAGAAGAGTGTGAGGTTGGGACAGATAGTGCAGCCGGGGTGGGCTCGGATCTTCCTGTCACGAGGCTTTTGCTGTCAAAGAGGCGTCCTCGGGCATTGTCCCTGAGCTGAATAACAGTGACCGCAGCACGATCCTGCTGCCCTCTCTCCGTCGCTTGGAACTTGAGAGTTCCAATCCAATGCTGCTGCCATCTAATGTTCACTAATGAATCAGTGTACAGAGAGCAAGCAGCGCGCTGAACAGAGTACCGATTCCCCCGTGTTTACGGAGAATCTAAGTTGGTGAGGGCACCGTCTTTTTCTCAGGGCTGCCGCTCAGAGAACATGCATGCAAATTTGACCTATTGTTGGGGGCTGGGGGGGTCTCGGGGAGAAACTGGTTGAGCACAGATTTCAAAGTCACAGGCCTCTGATTAATGAACTGCTACTGTAGGTTTGGAGTGGCGAGTAGAAAGTTCCAGTTTGATATGCTCATAAATCAATTTGACAAGCAAGCTTCTCGGGCCTAGCTTGCACTTGTCAGCAAACTGCATCAACTATAAACATAATACAAACAAAACATGTTGAAGCAGTTAAATTGATCAGCAGGTATCAGAGCCGTTGTCTTCAAGCTGCCATTATGCAAACGTCCAGGAAACAGTTTTGACCTCCCGAGGCTTTGATTTTGTTTGGATTTGTGAATAGAATTTCAGACAGCCATCAACTACAGAATAGAAATTGCTCCCTTATTTCTCTGGAGGCTTTGGGCAATCCACATGACTTGCTCCATTATGCAGTCTGTTTGCCAGTGAGCGCATCAGAAGTTTCTCTTCCCCAAACTAAAAGGAAAGGCCTTCCGCAGCAGCTTGTCTGTCTCTGAAGTTTGACTTCCTTCCCATACCCTCCCGAGTCCAAAGAACTAGGGTTCGTATTGTCATGCCTCACCAAGTTGGAAGTTACACTTTTCCTTCTAATAAGGGCACTTTTTTGGCCTTGAACATAATTCAGCCTTTAATATATCCCTACAAGAGAGGAGAGGAAGGAAGAGAGAGAGCTCACAGGCCTATCCTGTGAAGGTTACATCCCAGTTCACTAATAGATCACTAGAGACCACATTCATGGGCCTCTGCAGATCAAAGTTATTCCACTGGGGGGGTGAGGGGGAGAGGGTGTTGTTGAACGTGACTGTTTCTATAAACTGTTATTCTTTTAGCCAAAGTAAATGTACTATCATCTGCAATAAGCCCATTATAAAAAAAAAAAAAAAGTCTGAGCTTTTGTTATATATTTCTCAAGCCCTTGTCCCAGACTCTTAATGCAAATTCTTTGGTTCTCTGCTGCTGCTGCATAACATTTGAAAGAAAGGCAACTGAAAATCTAGAACCTGCATGCATTCTGCTGGTGAGAGCTTCCTGGGTAGTGAGAGGATGTGCGTTTCTCTGTGTGAGGCCTGTGTGCGACCATGTTCTGTGCTGTTGACGGGGCTGGGTGTCCTGGCAGCAGCAGCAGCAGCAGCAGCAACAGCAGCAGCAGCAGCAGTTGGCAGCCCAGCAGCTTGTCTTCCAGCAGCAGCTTCTCCAGATGCAACAGCTCCAGCAGCAGCAACATCTGCTCAGCCTTCAGCGTCAGGGACTCATCTCCATCCCACCCGGCCAGGCGGCGCTTCCTGTCCAATCGCTGCCTCAAGGTACCTGCACAATGTGTGCGCTTCCTTCCTAATGTGACACTTCCTACCGGTTCATGGCCTGCCTACCGCACACCTTGAGAATTTCGTTTCTGTGGCCTTCAGGTTGATTATGAAAACACGGTTAACAAGATTGCATGCCACACTTTTTTATTTTTTTTGAGACACAAAAATTTTCCTCCACCCTGCCTTCGAGTGTTTTGTTAGATAGTAAACGTGCATTTATTAGTCATGTGGCAGAAAATTATAAGGGCAACAGAATTTAAGCACTGTTAAACATACGCTGAAAATCTGCGGAGAACTGTATTAGTGGTAAGGCTAACAATGCTCATTAACACGGATGAGCTGAGTTTTGTGGACAACCGATCAGAAAAAGAAGTTCCTAATCTTCATATTGAAACCTCCACATGTAAAAAAAAGAGGTTTTATGAATTTCTACAGAGCACATTCCTAGTTATGCTGTGTGGGATCCCATCATGGGAAGAGACCGGGCCTATTTTCTCTAAAATAATATCACCTATGCGTATGTTGAACATTATAGCTTTTTTATTTTTCATTATAGCTTTAAAAAGCTGTCAGCTGTGTTCTTATTTGATTTCCTGGAAAGAAAACTGAAAGAAAACAATACCACTATAATAAAATAATAGAATGCTAAACAATAATACAATTGTATATTTTTATCATTTGACTCTTAACTTTGGGGAAATGGAAAGACTTCTAGGTAAATAAAGGAAAAATAATGGCAATAAAATGATTCCGTGCATGCTAAAATTCTCGATACAGGTAGTTAGGATCATATATTGATAAATTGCATAAAAGCATATTCTAAGTTGCATTAGGACTTTGTTAGAACAAAGCTTAATCCCAATGAACTTTAGTTTGAGTTCATTATATTTGTTACATAGGAATCACATTGAAATAGTAATTGCTGTACATTTTTCTGACTTAATGATACACTAAAGAAAATCAATAGCAATTAAATATACAAAAAGTACAATTAGGCAAATAAAATAGTTTTTAAAATGCACATAATCGTTGCATTGCCACATGAAATTAAAAATGGTGTGGTAAATATTTTTATCTTTACTTATCAAATTGTTGTCATTTTGGATTATTTTTCCTAGAATTCCCTCTTTCACTTGATTCAGATACTCTAATTCACCTGATCCTCTAATTTATACCTAGAAAATCAAGAAAGTTTAAATAGTGACAGAAAAGCAAGGCAATAAACTCACTTTCTGTGTCACTCCAAAAAGAATTAGAATAAATCATGGTGTCACCTTAGCAATGAGTGTTCTATTAACAAATTATTCTTTAGGAAAATAAATACAATTTGAGGACAAATGAAGAAATAAGGTTAAAAAACGAAAGACTTATAAATTAATTCAGTGTAAATACGGATACCTTTGGTAGAAAACTACATTAATACAGAAGCAAAAGAAATAATTTTATTGATTTTTTTCAGTAAAATAAAATCTGTTTTTAGGATCTAAAATCTATGCAAATATCCTCAGTAGAGAAGCATGATCTATCATGATTTTGACTAAAACCATTCAAACAGGCATTTCAAGAAAGCTTAAAACAGATGTTCATAGAAACAAAATGTAATTTATTTGAAATATATTTGTGAAATATGTTTCCAAAATAAGCATACAAAAATACCTTTCTGAACAAATAAATGTATTATCACACAACCATTCTAATAGTTTTCAAATGAAAATTTTCTCTTATTTCTGAGCTTTCTTTTGATAGAATTCTCTTGTTCCCTTTTATTTTATTGCTACGCTTCACAAGATAGCTGAGAGATAAGACACACAGGATGGAGACCATTGAGGAAAAGGAAGTAAATCTGAAAATGTATCTGGGGTTTGAGAAGAAAATTTATATGTTAAACAAACAAGATGAAAATCATTTTCATGTTTTTCAGTGTTTAGCTGAGTAAGTGTGAAAAGTCTTACTGTGGACAACCATCAGCCAAACACAGCCAGACTGTCAGATAAGCCAGTTACAATAAGAAAAAAAAATAAAATTCTTCAGAGTGCTGTGCCAGAATCCCAAAATTAGAGTGTGGGAAAGTAAAGAAATATTTGTTAGATAATGTAAGCCCTGAATCATTTCTGCCTTAGATACTGGGTATTTCACATAAAAAAATTTTTATTTTTTTTCATTTATAGTTTCCCAGTTCACTTTGCATTGGGCTTTGGATGGTTGGCTGATTAGCCACAGATAAGAGCCATATGAAAACTGAGTAGGTTTAATATTCAGTGATAATGTCCTCAGTGCATTCTTGAAAATATGCCATATTTGAAGTATTTATCCCCATGATTTAATACAACTTCCTTGGGCTGCTTTCAAAGTTAAAACTTTTTCCAACTCTATTAAATATATGTATATGAGAATCAGGTCATTTTAATAAAAGCAGGAGACATACTCACATTTTTATTTATATTGTAAAGTAATGAGATGTATTCTACCATTTCAGTAAATTATTTTAAATATGAAGCATTTAAAGTAATCATGAATATTACTATAATATTGAATTTTAATGTACAATAGGCAGTTAGATTATCTCTATGTGTATAGAGTGACTGTAGATGTACAGAAAGCAAATAAAAAATGATGGATTTGAAAATCAATCTCAAATAAAAGACTGAATATAAAGCTATTTACTACATACATAGTATAGTTTAAATACTAACTAGTAATTATTTAGAAACACATATTCATTGTCTACAAGTTAGAAAATAGGAAATTATTGTTCATGTACTTTAAATTTTGATAAAAGATAAAAGTCAGTGTATCCCAATACACAGTATATTTACAGGTTTACTATGATTACAGGGACTAAACTATATGTGGTAAAAACTCTGTTTCATTCTAATGTTTTAGATATTTTTGAACTTATAAAAGTTATTTAAAACATATTTTCATTACCAATCTGAAAGACCAAACAGGGAGTACTGGCTATGGAGCTGGTACAATTTTGAACTAACACTTTATGGAACTAGAACAGCTTGGAATCAGAGAACTATCGAATAATAAAGAAAATTAAGATTGTTTGAAATAATATATACTAATAAAAGGGTAATATGCTAATTAGACTGGGAGACCAGACACCTTCTGATCGTCCGACTTTCTTCCGGACAAAGCTATGGTGGTGGGGGCCAAGGGCAGTCAGACATCCCCCGAAGGGTGTCAAATTGGAGAGGGTGCAGGCCAGGCTGAGGGTCACTCCCCCACCCCCATGCATGGATTTTGTGCACTGGTCTCTAGTCCTATATAATAAAAGGCTAATAAGCAAATCAACCAAACGTTAGAACAACCAGTCATTATGATGTGCACTGACCACCAGGGGGAAGATGCTCAACGTAGGAGCTGCCCCCTAGTGGTCAGTGTGCTCCCACAAGAGGAGGGCCGTTCAGCCAGAAGCCGGGCTCATGGCTGGCAAATGCAATGGCGGTGGTGGGAGCCTCTCCCGCTGCAGCATTTAGGATGTTGGACTGCCATCAGTAGGACATCCCCTGAGGGCTGCTGGACTGCAACAGGGCACAGGCCAGGCTGAGGGACCCCGCCCCCTCAAGTGCACAAATCTCGTGCACCAGGCCTCTAGTCTATAATAATGTCATTTATGCTGAATTAGGAAGGTGCTGAAGTTTGTCTTTGGTATGAGTATTTAGTCAAAATCAATTATTTGGCTTTGACTTCATTCTCTGCATATGGAAATTTAAATAGCCAAATGCCTACTTCAACACTATTCTGGCATCCTTGATTTTTTTGGTTAATCTGTGATCATGTGCTTGCATAGATCACCAATGCATAATCCGTGTAAAGCACCAGTGATATGAAAAAGCATGACATGCAGAGTTACTGTTAGCATCATAGGATTTCCTTTCTTATACAAGTAAGTTTCTATTTGTAATTTGAAGGGAAAATAATATGTTGTGTGTGGGGGGGGGGGCAGTTATATTCTAAAACTCCATCAGTGAGCAGACGTTTAAATGTACACAGTACATTTATTATTGCCGCCATTGCACTCACCATTTATTATTGCAGGTATAAAACTTATCTAAGTTCCCTGTGAATACTAATATTATGTATAATATCTAACATATATTATGAAATACATTGGAAAATATTAAAGTGTGTTGAGTTAGTTTTTGAGAAAATGTAAAACTGGTAGAAAGATGAAGATTAAATGATATCATAAATCTAATTGTTATAGAATTATTTAATGAGCTAGCATACATAATTTTATTTAGGCCGCAAGACTTGAAAAAAAACTTCTGTTTGTCAATTCTTTATGTCTCGTAGGAAGACTAAAGAGTGGAATGTCAACTTTGCCACATTAAAATATCTGGGTGATGAAAACTGAGAAATTATTGTTTTGTAATACAATATCAAACTTTAAAAATGCAGCCTATAAAAATTGTAATATTAAAATCATAGAAATAATTTTTAAAATATCAAATATATTCCTATATCCCAGAAGTTCCTGTTTTTGTTACTATATTTGCCTTTGGTCTCAGTTTCAGCCAAATAGTGACTTTTATTCCCTATAATTCAACATTTGGACAAAATGTGTGTTTGATGCACCCTTCATTAAACATATATTTTAAAGATGGGCATTGTACCTACAGGCTATAGTAGCCCCTAGTCAAATATAAAAAAATAATGTGTTAGGTTTGGCACATTACATATGAACAAATAGTTCTCTGAAAGGTAGCCTAGAGGTTGGAATAATCATGGCCTCTGGAGAGGAGAACTGAGGACCCAGACGTCAAGGCTGGTGAGGAAATTTAATTTTGAAATATACACTTTTTTGTGATTTAGTTATTTTGGTCATGTGTGGACACTCGTTTTTCAAAATATAAAATTTAATATGAAAATAAAATTACATGATACTATTTCAGTAATTCAAATTACAAAATATAAAATTGGCTCAATAAAATATATGGATTGTATAAATACTTCTTCCAAAATTTGTTTTTATTACTTCTAATTGT